TAGATGAAGGCGAACGACTTTCTCATAGCACATAATAATAACATGGTGGGGGCATAACCAATCCATGCTGATGATCACATCAAAACTCCTTATAGTAACCGACATTAAGTTGATTTGAAAGGAGTGGTTATTTAAAGTTAATGTGCACCCTATGAATACGTCATTGGTTGTTTCTGTTTTCTGATTAGCCATTTCACCATGAAAGTTTTATTCAATTTTTGGGGATTTTGATTGAGTAGGTGTTTAAAATTATGACTTACGAAACTTCTTTCTGCCCCACTATCAAACAAAATGCATGCATAGATGTTGTTGAGGAGGCAAAAAAAGTTATTCCAACCTTTTTACAATCAATGGAAGTTAGTATGAAAAAAAAAAAAAAAAAAAGCTATTCCAACACATGAAAGTTATACCAACAATCGAAGGTATGTCCATTATTTAAGATCAAGAAAAAAATTTATTTAGAATGAGGAACATAACAAGCTTCCATCATTCCCAATCCATTTAAAATTCGTAAAAATGATTTTCCATCCAAAGGTTTTGTAAAGATATCAACAATATGATCACTTTTTTTAAAAAATGGACTTCAATATTCCCATCTTTAACATGGTCTTTAATGAAATGGTAATGGAGAACAATATGTTTTGTTTTTGAATATTGAACAGGATTATGACAAATTCGAATTGCACTTTGTGAATCATAATATAATGGAATTTTCTTCATATTTATCACATATTCATGTAGTTGATTTTGAATCCAGATCACTTGAGAGCAGTAGCAATGTATTTAGCCTCAGCAGTCGAGATACATACAAATGTTTGCCTTTTCGATTTCCAACTAAGAAGTTTGCAATCAAAAAATTGACATCTGCCTATTATGCTTTTTTGATCTAATTGGAAACCCCCTAAATCAACATCTGAATAGGTTTGGATGAAGAAACCAATTTTTGAAGGATACGATAATCCTAGGGTCTTTGTACCATGAAGATAGCGAAATATATTCTTTATTACAATATGATGAGGTTCGCTTGGATTTTCTTGATGCATGGGACAATTACACACAAAAAACATTATATCAGGTCAATTTGCAGTTAAACACAAAAGCGAACCAATCATGCATCTATATGTTTTGAGATCAACAACAAGCTTATCCAACAAAGAACCTAAGCGAGCGTTGACTGCCATAGGAACTTTAGCCTTCGTAGAATTCGTCATTCCAAATCATTCAAGCAGATCTCGAATTAATGTTATTGATTCATATAGATCCCTTCCATGATTTGACAAATATTTAAACCCAAGAAATAATTTATCTTTCCCATCATACTCATTTCAAATTGACTCTGCATAAGCTCCTCAAATTCCTTTGACAACTAAGGATCAGTTGAACCAAAAACATTGTCATCGACATAAAATTTGAATAAGCATGATATGAACCCCTACATTCTTTCGAAACAAAGTGGGATCAACTGATCATTGTCAAAATTTTGCGATTTTCAAAAATTGGTAATAGCCGCATACCAAGCACGAGGTGCTTATTTCAACACATAAAATGACTTGTCAATAATTTAGCAATGGTTAGGAAACTTATCATTGACGAATCCGGGTGACTGTTTGAGATAAACCATCCGTTCAAGAACACCATTAAGGAATGCATACTTTACATCTAATTGGTATACATTGAAATCCTTATGAGCTGCATAAGCCAGAAAAATCCGTACAACCTTGAGTCTTGCTATAGGGGGAAGGTTTCCTTATAATCAATTCCCTATTGTTAAGAGTAACCTTTTACGACTAATCTAGCTTTGTTTTGAAGAATATTGCCTTTTTTCATTTTTATTTTTAAAAATCCATTTGATACCAATTATCGAAATATCATCAAGTTTAGGAATTAATCTCCAAACCTTGTTTCGTTTAAATTCATCTAGTTTAGCGTGCATTGGAACCCAATTAGGATGTTCTAATGCATTCTCGATTGTTTTTGTTCAAATTTCAAAATAAAGACATTAAACAAAATTCCTAATGAACATTTTAAACCTCTTTTTTGGTTCGAATTTGCACTCGTGTCAGAACACCTGAACTTGGTTCACCAGGAATTTGTTCTTTTGAATGATCCCTCATCCATTTCTTCATTAGAGGAAATGCAGGATCAAAAACCAAATGTGCAACCACATATGTCTCTTCTGCTTCTCCTAATTAATCTTAAATTGAAATATTGTCATGAATATCAAGAAATTCATTACCTTGATCAATATTATCAAGATTTGATCCAATTGGCTCCCCTCTCAACAATTGGATTCATTACTACTCTAGCATCAAACAAATGAAAATCTCTCAAATTCTCATTCCTCTAGTCATGTAACGTGAACAACCACTACCGATATACCAGTTTCCATTATATTGTTCGTCACATAGTACCTGCAATTGATTAGAGAGATTTAGGTCCCAAGACCTTTTGGGTCCTTGACATTAGCATGGAATGTTGTGTGTAATGATGAACCAAAAATCCAACTTCGGACTTTAGTTTTAATTTTTTTTCAATTAAATCAATTTCGTCAGATTTAGGCATGAAAATGTAATCATCTATTGGCGAAGTTTCAACTCTGAGTTTCTCTTTTTTCAACCTTGTCTGCAGAAACATCTACTTACATTGTTTTAACATCTTTTCATTTGAGAAGTTTCGACAGTAATTCTTACGAAGTGGTATTTCCATTCGGAGATTCATTTAAGTAATTCCCACAAGCCTCATGAACTTGTTCTTGAGAATACTTTTTCGATTGAAATTTTCATCCTTTCTTTCCATCCAATGATTGGGATTTTTCATGTAATTTATGCCTTTGACAAAGGATACTTTTGATTTTTGCTTCAAATCAGGATTTAGAAAAGTTGGACTAAGAGGCTTAAAGGGTACATTCTTCTTTACAACATTTGTCATTTTTGTAAAATTCATTTGTCATGATGATTTTTGTGGTCGTTGTTGAAAGCGATTTTGGTATCGCTTTTGATAACCAAAATGTGAATCTTTTTGAAAAATCATTCTATTTTAGGAGAATTGTATATGTCCATTATTTTGAAAATCCTTCATATTATGAACTTTTTTCACAACATAATTTTGATGAAAACTTTCTTGTTCTTTTTACCCTTTCCTACCCAATAGTTGGAAACCCATATTAGGTAAAAGTCCTCAATACTCAGGGTAAGAATGTATGAAATAATGTTTGAATCCATCGAATATAATAAAGAGATAAAGAACACGGAGATCTAAATAAGATATGTTTAGCTCAGATTACATTTGGAATTATTATAAAGGTTTTGAGTACAAAGAGTAATATGAGAGTGTTCGTTACTCTAGACCTAAGCACCTACCCTATTTATAGGGTACCTCACAGACACAAAAAATACAAGGATTGAATATACAATGTGTAAGCACCTACCCTATTTATAGGTTACCTCACAGACACAAAAAATACAACGATTGAATATACAATGTGAAACCAGTAAATGCCTTGTAAATAGATATGATAATGAAAGTACTTAACTTTCACTATTTACAGACCCAAAACCTAAATACATAGATTTCGACTACTCACTAAGACGTTCGACTCGACATATACATTCCTTACAACTCAAAGACTCTAGAACTTGGACAACACTCAAAATTATTGACACCTAGACCAGGAAACGCCTAACAGCCACACCCGAATCTTAGAAGTCCCCAACATTATGTAGTATAGAATCCCTTGTAAATTACTATACTATTTAGAGTAATGTGACACAACGCAAATAAAAACGAGTATTTTTCACGATTAAGCAATATACAATATTTAAATTATTGTATTAGTAAAATAATCAGTCTGTTCAATTTTTTTTTTTTTTTGAACCACACGTTAATGGCTAAAAGCTAGTATCCATAAGTTAGTAAAATTTGCCTATACTCGGATTAGAACATGGTACATCAAATTTACGAGGCAAAACCTCTAGCAAATGTGCTAGTCCCACATTACTACAATTGAATTATTTGAGAGGTTCACTTCAGTTTGTCGCTCATATTAATAACAACTCTATATACAATTTTGTGTTTAAAAATAGACATGCACAAAAAGATGAGTCTTGGATCGGACCCAGGAAAAAAACTGAGATCAAACCCATCTAAACAAGACCAGACCTACAAAACACTAGACCAACAAAAAAACCAGTTGGAGACTGTCTATGACTCGTCCATGATTCATCTGAAAAGAAACAACATCGTTTTGAAACCGGTCTAAAAAAAAGACCAGACCATTTCAAGGCCAACACAAAACCAGATAGGATGATTTCGAGACCAATACAAAACCGTTCTGAGAGCAACCCACGACCTGTCTAAAAAGGGTCGGTAGCCAAAATTTATAAACATATCATTTTTGTATTGATTAAACAATTGGAGACTCTCTATGACTCGTCCATGATTCATCTGAAAAGAAACAACATCGTTTTGAAACCGATCTAAAAAAAGACCAGACCATTTCAAGGGCAATACAAAACCAGACAGGATGATTTCGAGACCAATACAAAACCGTTCTGAGAACAACCCACGACCTGTCTAAAAAGGGCCGGTAGTCAAAATTTATAAACATGTCATTTTTGTATTGATTAAACAATTTTTAATCACATATTAACTTTTTTTCTTTTATTAAACTTAAATGTAAAATTTTAATAAATTTTAATCTATCATTTAGGTATTAATCATATATAGTGTTATTTTGGTATTAATCATATATAGTGTTAAGATAAAAACTTGAAACCCAAAAAACCCGGAACATGAACCACAAAAGGTACACAGAAAAACTATGAGACCATACCGAAAAAGATCGAGACCAGAAAAAACCAGACCGAAAGAACCGGTCCCAAAAAAACTAAACCGTTCCGAGATTGAACCTAAAAAGACCGGACCATTTCTAGACCGACCCAAGAGTAGTCCCGGATCGCCAATGTGCATGTGCATCTCTGTTTAAAAGTCAATGCTCCGTCATGTGGTTAACATCTTTGATACATGTTCATTGTTGGAATTCCATCATATGGTTTAGCTTCTTTGATGCATGTTCATTGTTGGAATTCCATCATGTGGTTAACTTCTTTGATGCATATGTTCATTGTTGGACGTTTCATAATGTGGTAAACTTCATTGATGGATGTTCTCTATCACGTGGTATTGTGGTTAACTGCTTTGATGCATGTTCATTGTTGGAATTCCATTTTGTGGTTAACTTCTTTGATGCATATTCATTGTTGAAATTCGTATTAAGGAATGTGCGGGTTCAGTGCTTTATCTTCACGCTTTCACTTACGGTTTATAGTTTTTATATATACATGCAGACTAATAAGAATTTGAATGTTTTTGATAAATATTTATATATACATTATTTACATAAAAGAATTATTCGATAAAATACAATTTATTTGAAAATTCAAAAGACCGAGCTCGTTAATATGAATTTTATGCAATAAAATTAAGAATAAATTGATTAAATTTGACCATTTTATAAATAAAAGTTAATATCGATTAGTAAGTCTGGTTGATAAAGTATCACCTTAACATAACTTGTTTTTTGATTGTTATATAGTTGCACATATATTTTGACGCATTTGTTTTCCTTTAAAATATTGAATATATTTCCTTTTAAACTCCGAATATGTTTTAATTTCATCTTTTTGTTTTCTAATGAAAATGCTATTCAAATGGGTCCAATTTCTCTTTCACCGCATAATTTGACAACATAATTTTTAGTATTTTCCGGTAATAAAGATGGAAATTTCATTTTTAGAGCAACTAAGACTCACTAGGTCTGAGTTGATGTAGGGTTGGCGTGTTAAGAATGTTGCAGAAATTGTAAATATGTTGTTTCGTACTAGACTGAAATACTTAATAACTTGAAAGAGTAGATGTTACAAAGGTGGAAAGAAAAAAAATGAAAAGTAGGAGTAATAATTTGGGGGTCCAATGGGCAAAATTTACAATAAGTTTATAGGAGTAAAGTGGTAGTGGGTTTGAATGTATAGTATGATACATATTAATAAAAAAAAGTGAAAATAAATCCCCACACATTAATTAGCTTTCTCAACGTTACAAAACAAATCAATTTAAAAAACAAAATTAGTTTGCGTAATAAAATAAAAACGTAATTCATTTGTCACTATCAATTTTAATGTTTGGATCCTAACTTAGCCTCATAATTTTGGTGTAATATCATTTCAATCTGTTTATTTAAATATATTGAAATCCCTTACATATTTATTTACATTTGGGGTTCGTGTCACATTTGATGTTGCATCAAAAATTGTATCCCTAAAATAAACAAGTAAAAAAAACTAATAAAAAAAAACTTACCTCTCAGCATTCGTGTCACATTTGACATTGTGTCAAAAATTATATCCCTAAAATAGACAAACAAAAATAAAATTAATAAAAAAAACACTTACATCTAGGATTCGTGTGGCATTTGATATTGTGTCAAAAATTATATCCCTAAAATAGACAAGCAAAAATAAAACTAATAAAAAAAACACTTACCTCTAGGTTTCGTGTCGCATTTGATATTGTGTCAAAATTTATATCCTAAAATAGACAAGTAAAAGTAAAACTAATAAAAAAAATCTTACCTCTAAGCATTAGGCATCAAGTTTTTTCAACCGCTAATCTACCTCTTTTAATAAATAAAACCTAAAAATGATACATGTCAATTTTTTAGAATGTCTCTTTGACATGTGATATTTTTTTATGATTTTTATTATTTTTTTTTTTATGGTAAAAAATCAAATTCAATTCAAATTAAAATTTTGAAAATACAAATTCATATCCTAATAACATTATTATGTTTATTTTGTTTTTTAACAAATTGATTCATAATTATTTACAATCAATAACATCTCTGTTTTTTTTTTTTTTTTTTTTTGAACATTTATTATTTCTTATCTATATATAAATTTTAAATATACCGATCGTTGTTATAACCTAACATATTGATTGGACCTTTTTCTCAAAGACATTCCTAAGAGGAAAGCGGTGTGAGACAGATAGTAAAGGTGCTATAAACAGGGAAAATGAAATCGGTTTAAGGTTAATGTACACTATTATTATAATAATAATAATAATATATAAAATAAATGGCAAATGATTGAAGCCACGTGGCGTAAAAAGTAAATCCAACCGAAAATGATAACATGGGGATCAAAATACCAACAAAATTTGTTTTTGGATCTTATCCAAAACAACCATAATAGAACATGGACCAAATTTGTAATTTAATATTTCTTTAACTCGTTTATATATATCATTCCAATGAAACTTTCCCTCAGATTTAAGTCTTTTCCGAAGACACATCTTTCTCTTTGCATCTTCTTACACCCAAATTGAAGTTTTATCCCACCACCATTTCCTTTCCCTTCTAATACAACCAGTTAAGGAATCTTAAAACTTTATACCCCAATATTACAACACAATACCTTATATCACCTATGGATTTCACTATACCAGTCAAGTCAGCAAAACAGGTTCAGTAAACATTGCTGTGGACTGGGGTCTATATCCCATTAGTATCTCTATGCTGCCTCATTGCAATGGTGGCTGATTAGTACATGGTTTTTGGAACCAAAAGCTACGGTTTCTGTGTAAATATTTCTTTCTAATGCTGCTTCTCTCCCTATTATAGGTGTTCCAATAAAGTACCATGGATCCAACTACTCTGATGTCAGGTTATGTATACCACGCTGCAAACTTGGAAGCCTGACCTTTATGTGCACCATGGAGGCTAATCTATTGCCTTCTCCATCAACCATGGACAATAAGGAACTTGTCACAAACACGATAGATTTAATTATGATAAGTTCTTTGTTGTCCATGTGGTTGATAGAGCATGCAAAAAATTAGACACCATTGCGCACATAAAGTTTATACTTCCAAGTTTTGTAGCTTGGTCCACATCACCTGACATTGGATTATTTTGATCCACTGGTAGCTTCATTGCAACAGCTATTACAGAAAGCGAAGGAGCATATATTCATATTGAAATATTGACATGGAAACCATAACTTTTGATCCTGACACCATGTACTAAATCTGCCATGGTTGCAATGATGCAAAATAGAGATGCTAAGGTGATATATGTATCCCAATCCATGGTATGGGTTCACTGAACCTGTTTTGCAGATCTGAGCCGTATACTAACAAGGTTGAACGCCATCTGGTAACTGTTGAAGCTCTTGAATTAGTGGTGGCATTCAAGAGACAAGAAAGTCGAACAAGTTATTTAGTAAAGTAAGTCATTATGCTAATATTACATCAAGCCTTTTTTTCTTTTTTTCTTTTTTATAGAAAACGCGGTTTAAAACAGGAATAGTGGAATCATCTTTTAGACACTAGGTGTCTGCATCAGGGACCGACCTAAACGATGAGTGAAAAGATTAATCATGTGGCCGACTTGCACATGGAGTGCTGGAGCATGGGCCAAATTTAAAGTGGGTTAAATAAGTTATGGGCCAAATTTAAAGTTGGTTGAATAAGATCTTATTTGAATATTGTGCATAACTAAACCATATTAATTTGGTTGTAATTTTATTTATTTAATAATATGAGATATATAACAGTTAACAGTCGTTCTTTCAATTTGTTAGTTTTTATATCTAATAGAGTATAGATGGACTAGTTTATTATTGAAGATAGTAATCATTTTTGGAGAAGCTTTTGGTGCTCTCGGTTTTGATGGAAAGAGACAACCACCCTACGGTTTTCATGGGGTTTTCTAGCACAACATGGAGTCTTGTAGCATTTGCATGCAATGGTTGTTTTGGTAAGTGGGAGCTTGAAGATTTGATTATTTGTCCCTTAAGAAATGAGTTGACAATTCTTGTTTTGGTTCATAAGAATTGTCAGTAGTTAAATGACTTGGTTTATCCACTTTCACGTATTCTAGAAGTTTTATGTTGATATTATATATATATTATATATATATATATATATATATATATATATATATATATATATATATATATATATATATATATATATATATATATATATATATATATATATATGTGTGGTTGAAATAAGTTTTTACATGCTAAATAATATCTTGAACACAGGCCTGATCGTCTAGGCCCATCTATAAATCATTCCTAAAAAATATTGGAGTGGAAGGGTGGAACGGTTAGTGCATGTAAATGCATATGGAACGAAGTAAACAATGGGAATTAGGGCATCATCAGGGAATGGAGTCGACTCCTTGTGAATCGTTAATTTGATGCCTCGTAAATCTCGACATCAGCACATCTGTAACATCGTTTCTCTTTCTCGTATACATAATCTTGAGATCAGTATTCTCGTTTCTCTCTTTTCAATTGTTTAAACGATTTCTCTATCTTACTTTATCGAGTTGCAGTCAATCATAATATACTTCTCACTCAATAATTATCGAAACATTACAATCTTGCTAACTCCTTCCGTGTTGTCAAGTTGAACTGTTGATTTTGCCCCTCTTATGTGTTTAAAAGACGACTTTGTCTTCCCACCTGTGTTGAACTCTGATTTTTGGAGTGATTAGAAGATACCAGATAAGCTTTAATCAACATTAAATATTTTTATGTAATTTCTTATTCTTATTTATGCTTTTTTGTTTCTAATTTTTTTTTTCTCATCTCTTTGTATATCTTTCTTTCTTTTTTCTAATTTTTGTTTGTCAAAGCTTATAATTTCTCATTCTTTGTTTGTTTTAAGTTCGATTTTTGAAGTCAGATTCTTATGTGTTTTGTCCTCCCATTTTGCGGAACTTTGATTTCTGAAGTGATTAGAAGATACCAGATAAGGTTTAGTCAACATTAAACCTTTTGTTTTGATTTTTGATTCTTATGTATGCTTTTCATTTCTGTTTTTTTCCCCCTAGGTTTGTATATGTTTATCTTGTCTTATTTTATTTTTCAAAGCTTTTAATTTCTTATTACAATTTGTTTTGGAATTAGATTTTTTGAAGTTAGATTCTTCAAAACAATGAAACTCAAATTTCCATGTCTTGGATTTTTCATTGAATTAGTTAATATGTTTGTATATATTTGAATCATTATTTGTAAAACTTTTCTTAAGGTCATCAATGTCAAATTAACGGTTAAATGGTTTGGAAATATTATGCATAAAGAAATATATGTTAAATATAATTGATCTTAATAGTGTTATCAATGATTTTGCTTTTAAATAAAAATAAATAAATAAAATAAAATAAAAACTAGAAGTATTTTTTTATTTTAAAAAAAAGTTAGTTGTTTTTTTTGTAAATGATGTGGCTATATTTTTGTTTTTGATAATTTATAAATGATTTTAGTAAATTGGTTTATTTTCTCAAATATTTATTACATTTGGGATTTTCAGAGCTTTTTTCTTTCTTCTCGCCTTGGGCCAAAAGATTTTTGGACCAAACCCTACTTAAACATAATGTAAATAATCTAAATAGAGTTTGGTTTTTTTGAAAAATATAGTATACTGTTGGGAGATTGCATATATTAAGAATGAATCGGTTGATCCAAATTTGATATGTTGTGATGTGTTTCGCTATTTATGTATGTTATATGTGCTTGAGGTGTCGATAACCTATTATGGAAGAATTATTTAGGATTTATTATGTAACATCCCTAAATTTGAACCAAAATTTTCATTTTTAAATAAGAGTAATCATTCAAATGTCATTCACAAAGGTATAGTAAGATAACTAATTGTTCAATTATGTTAAACCATTATAAAAAAAACCTAAGTAATAATAAAGAGAGTAAAAATCAAATGAGCGGAAGACTCCAAAACATATCCATGAATGTGATGCAATCAAACCGTGGCTTTCCCTTTGCTTCTTGGACAACTTGAAAACATTTAAACTTGAAAGAGTAAACACAAACCTTAGTGAGTTCCCTAAGTACATAACCATGTGAATGCTATGATCCAACCATAGTCTTATACTCACTTCCGTTGCGACAGTCCAACCACAGTCTTTCTTGCTATGACCCAGCCATAGTCTTTCATTCAACTGACATGGTCCTCCCATAGGATTTCATATAAGTGATATGGTCCAATGATAGTATTTCATATAATTTCTATAGTCCAACCATACTACTTCATACAAAAGTAACACCAACCACCTATAGTCTAACATAGTTCCAACCTTAGTCTATAGATCAAACCTACTAAGTTGGACCAAAAGTTAAACTGGTAAAAAATGCAACGGTCAAAGTTTATGATAGGCACATCATGATTTAGAACGGACACTACACGCCCACTACATAACAAAACAGTCGTCAAACCCTAATAAATACGTCGTGCACCTAAATAGGTGTGTCATATCTAGTTGATTAATAGCATGTTTCTATTAAGTCTTTAATCCCTTAAGTTAGAGGCTCCAATTCTAAGATCTAGATCTCCTTAAGAATAAGACTCAAAACTAATAATAAAAGTGAGAGATGGAGGCTAGGGTTTCAAGAGAAAGTTCTCTGATGATGGAAGCTGAGAGAATGACAAAATCCTTTAGGTTTGTTCCATTAAACATGGATCGAATCCTAAGGCCTAGAGCTTGGATCGTCAGCTCAGGTGTGTCGCACATAACTTAAGGTACTCCATGCCTAACACATTCTAAGTGCATCACGCCTAATCATGGATGCATCACGCCCCATCACAAAACTCTAAAATTAAAATACTTAAAATAACTAGAATACATATCGACAAATTATGATGATAACTTCATGCTAGTGTCCAGACTATGGATTGATTGTGATATGTAATGATTATGCATTCTATGTTTCCGGAAATTGATATGTCTAGGATGTTAGAACATTAGCATTTGAGTGATGAGAAATACTTTAATATGGTGCTTGATAATTTATACGTGATCATATAGTGAAGAATAGTAATGAATGATGTATGAACCTTGTGTGCAATTAATAATGAATTAATAAAACGTGGGGAGTACACTTAAAGGTGCAGTGGTAGTAACCTAAAATTAGGCGTTTATCCAATCCGAATATAGTGATGGCCAAATAGGTTGAAAGAGAACCTATAAGAAAAGAGCTTATACCAAAGAGAAGTCGAGTGGTTTTCTAGACAACCATTTCGATACATGGTCCTTTGATGTGGGGATTAAAGTGGTGTTATCTATGTGAGGAATCCGATTCAAAAATCACATTTGAGTGGGGGTATTAACAGAAATATCAATTACACCACTCTTGAACGACAACACATTGTTCTTGTACATCCAACGCTGGAGTACAAAATGTAACATATTGGGGCAATGTATGAGTGATAGTTGCTCCTCATTTAGTGCATTGCTTCGGGCCGATAACGTTAGTAGTAAATGGGGTAACTCCTTTTCATTTAGCGATGTGAAAAGACCCATAATAACGATGATTAACGATGTAAGTGAAGAATAAAAGAGGGTAATTACAATGTCGATTAAAATGATGAACAATGCTTTTAAAGTAATTATAACGATGAACAAAGTGAAGATTAATATATCCTATAATAACATATTATAGTGATGATTTATGTTTAGATGTGATGAAAAATGAAATGTGTGAAGTAAAAAACATGTTTTGTGATAATAATTTGAATAATTGGTCCATTATGGGATATGTATGTTTTAATTTTTACATTGTACTTATGATTAGTTCACATAGCAACTAGCTGATACTTTCGCTTTGTATGTTGCATTTGCCATGCGTTCTAGTGCTTTAGAAGATTACTGTAAGGTTGGGATACTGGGTTAGTTATGTCTTTGGTGTTTTCCATTTAAGTAGGTGATACCATCTTGAACAGTTATTATTCTATTTTCATTTGGTTTTCGTAAAACTTAAACTATTTTGATGGGTGATATTTTGAACTAAGGTAACATTGGTGGTTATTTTGGAAATATTTAATAATTATGACTTTCGTTGCATTTTCAGTTAAAAGTGTACTAAAAATTAAAAGATTTTTTTTAAGTAAAATCACGACGTCATAGTAGATGAAGTAGATTAAGCAGTAGCACAAGAAAGGTGTAGGCGGATATGATCAGGTGAAGAGGAACGACCAAGTGGAGTCCCATGATTGGGTATGATTGCATCTGAAGTTAACGATTAGTGGAGGTTTATGATGGTGGTTTAAGGATGGCATTCAAGAATTTAGAGAGAGAACGTTGAGAACGATGTGAATGATTAACCTTTGTGGAGCTATTGAAAGATATTATGATATTAATTCCAAATCTTAAAAACTACAATTTGTTTTTTTTGTTCTCTTTTGGTATAAGTGTTAATTAGAATTGTTTATATTTTGATTCTTATGATCAAATTATTGTTCTTTAACATAATATGAGAAACCTCCACTAGATTGAATTTTTGATTCATCATGCTTATCCTTATTTTGATTAACAGGTTTCCGTTTAGCATATGAACAAGGTTTATGTTTATTTTTAGGTTTGTGTTGTAACTTTTTATTTAATATATATATATATATATATATATATATATATATATATATATATATATATATATATATATATATTCTAAAATCCATATTGACACCGCGACAGTGTTATGTTAGGGCCGACATTACCCTTTGTCAAACTAAACAAGAGCTTAGAGTCTCTAATGTTAAAGTGCCTTCAATTTTAAAATTTATTTTGTTATATATATTTATAGAGAAATTAATTATCCTTATATTTTTTATTCCTATCAATCCTTCTACCATTTAAATGATAACATATGTGAAATTAGTATACTAAAATATCATTAAATTTCATTAAATGTTACACATGTTATCATTTAATTGGATAGAAGATTTTTTAGGAATAAAATGTAAGATGATATTTATCATATTTACATATACATATTTTTTGGGATATAAAAACAAGTTGAAGCTTTGCTTGGTGGTAAAAACACTAGTTTATAAAACTAAAGGCTTTAAGATCAAA